CTGCTGAAAATCTTAATGATTAACCAAAAAAACCCTATTCTAGACTCGATGAGGAGTTTCAGACTTATCTACAGTTCTGAAATACCCAGAGTACTCCTCTTAAAAATTCATTCACATACAGGCATGCTCTCTAATCTCTTCCTCCCCAATCCTTGTAGATAATGCCATTACATTTGAAACAAAGGTAAAACAAGTCAGATGTGAAGTGACAGAAACAAGCTTCTCTTACTTGCAAGGAAGGGTAAAATAATTTGTGTTCCTGTAGTGTGAAGCAGGTAATCTGAGGATATCATTTTGAGCTGCTAGATTATAGAAATGAAGAAATGAAAAGCTCTTCAGGTACTGCTTAAGTAGAATCTTTGATCAGATTCTTTTGGAGAAGCTGAAAAGCTGCAGAGGGAATGGTCAAAAATCAGGAGCATTCCACTGTGAAAATTCTACTCCCAGTATGAAAAACCCAGGCACATCAAAGTCATTCAGCGACAAAGCCCTGCTGCTTGTCTTCTCTCTTTTCAGTCCTGTGAGCCAAGTAAGTGTATTTTCTGTGTATTTAAACGAAAAACCCTAAATAAATAAATGCTTAATATAAGCAGCCACTTTTTAATGACTCCACATTAACAAATATTACTTTTAAAACTATACAAAAGAATTAAAGTGGGGTTTTTTTTCCCATAATGAAAAACCAAAATAGGTACCATTTCCCTAAGCAGCAAACCATGACTGAAATTGCCTCCTGGCACTTGAAACTATGGCAGTATTTACAAATAACTAGTGTTGAGTAATAGATGAAGGATGAATTTCAGGTTGGTTCACACAGAAGATGCACTGACTGCACTCTAACAGGGGTTGGTTTGCTCTACTGCAACATGGTCAGCTCTCCGGGTAAACATTCCCAGATCTGATTAGCAATAATACACACATAACTTAGTGTGTATTACGTAGGTACTATGTAAAGGTGCCTCAACTGCTAGAAAAGGAAAAAATACATCTAGAAGCTGCCCCGAAGGACCATGCCCTAGATTCCCTGGAACCCAACTGTTGTACAGCTTCAGACTGGTTGAAATCATTAGCTCCATGAATGTGGAAAAAGGGAATGCAAAGTTTATTTTGCCCAGGGGCATAGAAATATCTAAAGCCACAACAATCAGACTTTTATGAAAACAGAAAAAAACCAGTCATACACTCAGACTAGGGCCAAGCTTTTTAAGACCAGTCTGGACCAGCTTCTTAAGCAGAACGCTGTACCGTAACAACATCGATTCTTTGGATCTATGTGATGTCCACAAAAGTACTGCAGTGTGTGTGACTCCCTCCTGTATTTGAGGTATGCAAAAAAGTCTGTTTCTTTTGTCTTCAGCAGATAGAGAGCAGCCAGCTCTGTATTTTCTTCCAGAATTTAGAATTTGATTTAAATAAGCTATGTGACAGTGGACACAAATCTGTGTAGGCTGCTCTTCACGTAACAGCAGCAGAAAAATCAGGGAGGACGGACTTCAAGAATCAGACTGAGGAACAATTAGAGAAACCTCTTTAACTCTGCCAGAACAACACCAACCCCAAGACAGAAAGTAAAATCAGGAGAAGCCTGCAACCAAATTTCATTTCCATTTCACTGAGACAAGTCTGACACTTACAAGAGTATTCCATAGTTTATTGAAAGAGCACTTGTTACAATACAAATCAGTTCTGCTTTTCACAAGGCAGATGCTTGCTCTTAAAGACAATCCACAACTTGTTTTTTCTTAAACAATGGACAGATCTGAAAATCCCATGTAATTCAAAGGCAGCTCACTGCTTTCTTTATAGTACAAATAGGTACACACAGCATAGATTTCTCATGTGGCAGCTCCTGAAGTGGTTCAATGGGAAGTATCCAAGTCATATTTCAACATATAAAGGATAAAGAACAAATTTCAACATATAAAGGATAAAGGACAAACAGTGAGGGAGATATTGACACTATGCTGAATGTACTGATAAAAATAGCATCCTCTAATTTGACAGATCCCTAAATTTAGATTGCTTGAGAAAGGCTGTTGTAGTCAATCAGAGGAGCGTTAGTGACATGCAGTTCCCCCACCCCCAAATCCACATGTCCCTAGTGAGTCCTAAAGGATATTTCAGCAATCATCACTAAGGCACAGGTGGATATGAGCCAGCTGTCAAAGCACACAGCACATCAGCACTTTGCAATGGCAATGAAGCTTCCTAAACCAGCACTCCCATCATGGATACCACATCTGCATTAACCTGAAAGCCTTTTCACACTGTCTTCTATGAAGAAGCTGTATTACTGTTCATTAGCTCCATTCAGACAGAGTTTGGAGTGAGAGGTGTCTGTGTTTCTGAATAGTGCAAGAGATGCACAAGTTCTTGCATTGTTTCAGATAAGGCACTACACTGTAATTAACATTCCATTCTTAGAGTGGCCAGTTCTTTTTATAGGACATTCTTTCTTTTTTTTTTTCTCCAATTTTCATCTCTGTAATATCCTCCTAAAAGCCAGGTAAAAAAGCTGCTTCCTCTGAGCAGACTGGACCCCGTTTTGACATAGTCTATCCTTTTCTGCCAAATCATAAAGCATCAGAATAGGCAGGGTTGTTCTAGTGCTGCACTAGAACAGTGGGGCAAGACAGATTGATGCAACCTACTGTTCACCATCATCATCACCGCCACCCCCCCAGGCATTTACAGGCATTTCTTCTCAGATTTCTGAGCTGAAGTTGGCAAAATCTTTTTAGTGTCTAGCATTAAAATATCAAGCAGCAGGAGTTTTTAATCTCATGTCAGTACACATAGTTGCACGGACTTCAAAGTTACTCTATGCTCAATCACATGGTGATTTCACATAGGCAGCCACAATCCTCAGCAAAAATGGGACATGATAAAATTGGTTTCATGTTCTCTCCCCATTCAGACTAACTCTGTTTGGCTCATGTATTCCTACAGAATTGGGAGGGTTTTCCCCAGCACACATTTTTAAAAGAGTCCAAGCCTTTTTGAGGATGTGAAAGAACTCATTACTCTTGACATGCACAAAACCAAAGTGCAATGTACTACTAAAACTGGATTCTAAACTAAAGGCAACAGCAAAATAGTACTTGCAGCCCAAAACTCACTTTGCAATTCTGACTCACGCTCAAAGAAAGTATTGCTCACCTACAAGGCTTGTTCTCTTTAAGAATCAAGACATTTTTGGGTATGATGCTTTATTTCCTTTGTTCAAGTAGGCCACAGCATGAGACAAATGCAAGTTACAAAGCCAGATTTGGACACAAAGTTAAACCTGCCATAAAAAAATTCCCAAGTGATGTTCTTTTAGGACAGTTAGAGGACTGACTTTGTATCTCCTACCTCAGAGGGCCAGTATCCTATCAGTAACACATGTGCAGAGACTTAAGAGTTGACATTTGATTAATAGATACATAAATGGTGCATGGCTGCTATGTAATGTGTTGCAACCAGCACCTA